TGAGGGATGGTGACAGTAAGCATTCAAATTGAAAACCCATTACTTATTTTTTCATATCATATACTTTCAAGTTTCCTCCACCTCCATTTAGGGGTAGCATACGGGTGGAGCCACTTGCTAGATAGCGGGCTCAGCTTGTCTAGGTTCAGTCCGTGGGATGATCGGGCTCATTTCAAAACAAGTCATGGACTGAGCCGAGCTCAATTTTTTCCACAATCCAAGTGGTCTCAGCTCTTGGACCTTGCCCAAGAGCTGGCTCCTTTTTTTGGCGTACTTTATTAATTTTTAATTTTTTTCTTTGCTTGTTTTTGGACTTATTTTGTTAGCTCAGCCCACGAGCCAAAGGGCCAAGCCAAGCCTAGGATTTGGACATGAGCCATGCTCGGTTTGACTCGTGTCCACATGACCCGAGCTCAGCTCATCCCTAGGATCGAGCCAAGCCGAGATTGAGTGTTTAAGGGACAACCCGGCTCGGCCGTTGCAACCAGCCCACCTTCATCTAGTCTTATTCTCATAAAAAAACTCACCAGCTTAAATGAGTCTAGTTGTACTCGACCCTGGCATTGAGCTAGTTGAGTTGATTGCGCTTTTACGAGAAAATATTGCAGAATCAATTGAAAGCCATTATAACAAGGTTAAAATGGACACATGACCTATGAAGAAGACATTTTTAAAAAATTAAAAGATGGGAAGTTTTTATGTTGGCTATTAAAGGTGGTTTCGAAACTTGCCCTTTCGAATAATGTAGACAATTAGTTTAAGTAATTAATTGATATTGAGAAACTATTCTCTCTACAATTTCTCTTCTGAAAACTTAAATCTTTCTCCTCTCTCTCTATTGTTTTTGTCTCTCATTATGCACCAATTGTTTTGTATGCTTCATTGATTTCTTAAACAGCAAAATGTATGTTTGGCCCTCAGGTTCGATCAATGTTCCATCTCTGCAAAGTCACTAAAAGGACTTAAAGATGCTGGATACGAAAAGATGACCATGGTGCAGGAGGCTACACTTCCTGTCATTCTCAAAGGTCTTATTTTGCTCACATAATTAGAAGCTTAAAAGAGAGAATTACCTAAAATATTCTACTTTGTCTTATGCCGAAGTATGTGTTTTTATATGTGATTTGAAATGGCATATAAATTGAATATTTTTATATTATTGGGGTGATCTGTATCAGCAATTTGTGGTTTCTTGGGTTTACTGGATTTGGTAGCTCATTTACTAAATTTGAAAAGATAAGAAATTATGTAAACTTATTTGGGGCCATGAAGTAATTTGTGACAATTTCATTATGGAGGACTGAGGTTTGTGAGTAAAATTCTCGTCTTGTGATAAGGGTGGCTGTACAAGTTATCAGATTTGTCTTGCAAATTGACACTGTTGTTTTGACTGAGGCACCATCTTATTGATCTCATAGGATTGATGACGATATAGAAGATGGTATTCGTGTATGGGATCTTGTATTATTCTTAGTCTTATTTCTGTTCTTATGAAATATTGATTGTTTATATTTATGGTGACACGGTCATTATCAATATCCAGGCAAGGATGTGCTGGCCAAGGCTAAAACGGGCTCTGGGAAAACTGTCGCATTTTTGGTGAACTACTATGTCTTTTGTATATCGACGAGTGCTTTCTGATGTGTTATTATTTTTGTTTATATGCAGTTTTGAGTTTTCTAATCAGTGAAGGGGCTTGTGTGCTTGCCTTCAAATATATTGCATTAATCGTCAACTTCCTACTGCATTTACTTTGAGTGCACCATAGTGCTTTCTCCTGTGATTTGTCAGGTGGCGATATTGCATAGTTCATGGAATGAAGAGTTTATCAAAGGAACTAACCTTGAACTACGAGAACATAATATACCATATAAAGCTGGAATCTGCTTTTTATTGGCTTTATCCTCTAGGTTGGAAACACAGTGTGATAAGAAGGAAATGAGGAGCGAAACCATGCTTGTAAATTTTCAGTTGCCTAATTTTAGACTGATCTAATGCACATTGAGTCATCATGAAATCCATTGGCAGCACTCTGAAATTAATTTTAAATAGTAGTTTTCTAATCAGAGATGGTGAGATGTTTTACCATACTGTACTATATCTGCATTTCAGCTTCCTGCAATTGAAGCTATTGTAAAATCACCTCCCATTGCTCATGATCAAAAGCATTCTCCAATTCTTGTGCTTGTATTATGCCCAACTCGGGAGCTTGCAAGTCAAGTTGCTTCAGAAGCCAGCAAACTGTTGAAGTATCACCCATCTATTGGTGCTCAAGTGGTAATAGGAGGTATTAAGATTGCTCAGGAACAGAAACAAATGCGAAAAAATTCTTTCCAGGTTAGTTCATTTTGATTGCAAGAAGCTTTTAGTAAGCCATTCATTCACAGTTGCTGGATCTCATGTCCTAATGATTATCACAATCTAAATAGAAAGGGAAATTCAAAGAAGGATAATAATTGACTCCACATGCGTTGTACATGGGACCCTTGATAAATTCCCTTCAGGAGTCCTCTAGCATCTACTTATCTGGTTTCTTAGTTGCAGATCAGTTTTGTATGTTTTGTTTTCTTCGACTCCAGGATATATTTGGATTTGTAAATATTTACAAGAAACCATCTGGAATCGGGTCTGTGTATCGTTTTTGTGTGGTAACATTTTTGTAAGTCATATACGAAGTTTATGGAGTAAACTTCATCTGTGTTTTTTCATAGCCAATCCCGAGCTCCAGATATAGGAGGGGGATTGTGTACATCAGCTACACCATAAAATTTCATCACTTCTAATGGTGGTGAGTGATCAAACGAAGTGGCAAAATGTTTAGTCTTTATGTGTTCGTGTCTTGGAAGATTTTTGGTGGCTTGGTTGAGTTTCTTAAAGTAGGTTAAGTTTAATTTTGAACAAGAGATCTGTTGGAACCTCTGAATTTGTATTCTTTCTTCTCCAATTAATGAAGTTCACATTTTAACTTTTAAGAATATTTTGAGAGATGTAGAAGCTTCTTGGTTATTGTACAGCGCACTGCTGCATTGTACACACATTTTTCTGAAAACCATGATCCTGATACGGAACTTGTTGCTTTCTCTTTCTTTATGCATGAGATCCGTCCTTTATTTTCGCTTTGGGTGCCTAAAAAGATGTTGCATCGGATTCTCAGTGCTGCATATCTGCCACCTTATCAACACTCAGTAGTGGAAGTTTGTTGGCACTATCTTATTCTTTTGTCACATTTAAAACTCAGATTCTTGTGGCTACACCTGGAAGGCTTATAGATCATCTTCAGAACTCAGCTGGATTTGCTACTCGGCTGAAGGGTGTTCAAGTCTTGGTCCTTGATGAAGCTGATCGTTTGTTAGACATGGGATTTCGCAAAGACATTGAGAAAATAATTTCTGCTGTTCCAATCCAGCATCAAACTCTTCTGTTTTCTGCCACTATTCCGGATGAGGTGATTTTGATTCTATTGTTTTGTAGCTTCTCATGCTCTTGAGTGAAATTCTAAACATATCTATAATTCAGGTTCATAAAATTTGTGATGTTGCTTTGAAAAGGGACCATGAGTATATCAATACAGTACAGGAAGGACTCGAGGAGACAAATTCACAGGTAGACTGTAGGATAATTACATTGTGTTTTGCTTTTATGTGCACTCACATTTTTCTCGTAATGTTCACAATCTTTCAGGTGAGACAGATGCATATAGCTGCTCCTTTAGGCGAACACTTTTCGATACTATATACTCTGCTGAAAGAGCATATAAAAGATTATGCTAATTATAAGGTACTGTGTCTGGTCCTTTTTCTTAGATACTTTTTTGGTATTCTTTCTTGTGAAAACTTTCTGAATATTTTATTGAATACTGCTGAAAGAAAATAAAATAATTTAAAGCAAAATAATATGCAAAAGGCGAATGTCAAAAGAGTTTGTATGATTGAGCTCTAAGATACTGCCACAATCAATGCTATAAAGTAATTATGAATCCTCTCACAATTATAATATTTTGCACCTCTTGGTTTTTTCCAACTCAGTGGTTAAATCTCTATCACCATGCTTACTGTAATGTGACACAGATTCTTGTGTTTTGCACAACGGCGATGGTTACAAGATTTGTAGCAGATCTTCTTATGAAGCTTAACTTGAATGTCCGGGAAATTCATTCTCGAAAACCACAAAGTTACAGAAACAGGATTTCTGATGAATTCCGGAAGTCAAAAGGTCTAGTTCTTGTAACTTCTGATGTATCTGCACGAGGAGTAGATTATCCAGATGTTACACTTGTTCTACAGGTGACATGTTACATACTGCTACATTCAGCTTGCTTTTAGAACTTAATCAGTACTTTTTGAATGTGCTTCTAAGCGAAATAAAATTCTCTATTGCTACTCGGATCTGAGAAGAAAGACCCTCCAGGTGAATTCCTGTTGACGATCATTTTTACTTTTGGGGTCAAAAAATGTTGCCCAGATAGCGGGTTTGTGGACAGCCCCATGCCTCTTCTCTTAATTTCTTATAATACATAAGAAATGGTTTCAGTTTTATTTCGATGATGGGTTTAGTTTTATTTAAAGCTCAGTGTATTTTATGCTAAAAAACGTAACAAATGTTTCTATTGTAGATTGGCGTGCCAGCTGATAGACAACAGTACATACATCGACTAGGTAGAACTGGACGTAAAGGTAAAGAAGGACGAGGTATACTCGTGTTGGCACCCTGGGAAGAGTTCTTCTTGTCCAGTATCAAAGACTTGCCAATAACAAAGGCATCGGAACCAGTGGTTGATCCAGACACTAGGAAACTGGTGAGTGTTCAATGAGTACTTCAACAACCATGTCCTTTTATAGCTCATCATTGGCTAATTGAGAAGATATAAAGCATGCGAAAACGCTCACTTATTTGTACAGGTTGAACTCGCACTAGCCCGTGTGGATGCGAAGATTAAAGGCACAGCTTATGGGGCATGGCTTGGATATTACAATTCCAATAAGAATGTGCGTAGAGACAAGAATCGGCTTGTAATGCTGGCAAATGAGTATAGTCGAAGCATGGGACTTGACAACCCACCAGCCATTGCGAAGAAAAACCTTAGAAAAATGGGCCTACAGAGCATTCCTGGACTGCGCTCTGAGTAGAGATCTATAGATATGGAACAAATTATGTGAATTTTGGAAAAATTTAATGATTGATTATGAATTATAAATTTATGGAGGTTACAAAATCCATGATTTAATAACTTTAGATAACAATGAAAAAGATGGCTTAGCGTTGTATCGTTTTTTTTTAATGTATATCCTTTTGCAGATTGGTCAGTATTTGACCCTAGGCACCTAACTGACTCTTCCTCCCCAGTTTCCCTAAAGCGCCTAAAGCGGAACGGTTGCTCATTGGAGAGACAAAAGAAGTGAAATTGTGGGTCGTATTTCTATTCTTAGAAGTATAATGACAACAAACCAAAACCCTTGTTATCTAGGAGTGCTAAGGTACCCGGAAAAAAGAAGGGGGCTTGTGGCCAAACTACATTCTACATTCAACCCCTTGATCACTTTTTATGCATCACATTCTTCAACATGAACGGGCCAGCAAATTTGAGTCAATTGCAAAGGGCAATCTCTTTAGCATGGTGAAAAAGGCCGATAAACTCACAAGAAAAAGGCCCGCAAGCCAATGCTCTTTAATCTCGATGGTCACCACTTTGTTTCTAAAGGAAATTACACCCACACCTGAAAATAAATTTCCAACTTCACAAATTCAATAACAACTTCAACATTTCAAAA